GAGAGGATGTGAGTTGTGGGGGAGGTGTGGCATGAGTGTAGTGAGGCTTGGGGAGGGTGTGCAAGTGGTGGTGGAGGCCCAGCATGGTGTGGCTCCTGCTGGGTGGGAGAGGGTGCACAAGTGGTCATGAAAACATGGTGCAAGCACAGGGGGGCTGGGAGAGGATGCACAGGTGGGGCAGACTAACCTGAGCAACTTTTAACTTTCCTTCCCAGCTTCCCCATTGACCTCTGCTTCTGGAAAGCTGACTGGGAATTGGACTCATGTGACTGTGGGATACCGCAACTATCTTAAATGTGACTTGAGGAACTGTATAAACCAAGCCATCGCTACCCATTCATTTAAAAATGTACCATAAAGCAGTCCACTCCGCATGCGGCCCAGGCCTCGACCCATCTCACGGTCCCTCTGTCTCATTGCACGTTCTGCTGCTTCCCTTTGGCTGGCAGTTAGCTCTTCAAGATCTTCATCATTCAAGGCTAAACCTTCAGCTTCATAGACATCAAGCTCAGGAATAGGACGATAGTCCCTGGATTAAAAAAAAAAATCTGTTCGTCAAGCACATTGCATTACTTATTTTGCAAAGCACCAGATCTGACATTTATATTTAGATATCACAACATGTACAACACCTGCACACAGGAAATCCACTGCATATATGGAACATATATGGATGGACACTAATCTGGAATTAAGGAGAAACTTCCTAACAGTGAGGACAATTAATCAGTGGAACAGTCTGCCTTCAGAAGTTGTGGGTGCTTCATCACTGGAGGCTTTTAAGAAGATACTGGACAGTCGCTTGTCTGAAATGGTATAAGTCTCCTGCTTGAGTAGGGGGTTGGACTAGAAGACCTCCAAGGTCCCTTCTAGCTCTATTTTGATTGACTGATTTTTATTAAAAGGAAGAGAATCTCTTTTTCTCTCTTGATGCACTTAATGTGGGTGAGCTTCATTTTTAGATATTCCATTCTGCAGCCTGTTTGTTATTAGTTCTCATTCCTTTCTTTCTGGAATCAAAAAGCTGTAAGCCAACTTTAAGTACTGATGGATTATTTATTTAGATAGCCTCTTTGCTTCTATCGCTTATTAAATCAATTTATTAACTATTTTAGATGGCTACCCATTTCATGAATGTAACTTTGGGTTACATTCTATATATTTTTTCATCTACAGCCTTTTTCATTTCATTCCATTAAGCATACTTTTTACATATCCCATTACAATAACTCTATACACCTCTATGGAAATTATGAATTTAGAGCAATTTAGATGTGTAAATCCAGCCCTTATGAATTTCTACCTCATCTCTCAGTTTATAAGGTTTGCAATAAATGGCATATTAACACTTGGCTTCAGATTTTGTAACCAGATACTTGAATTGAAGTTCATGTAATGCATGACTTTTAAACTAACTAACAATTTCCATCAAGGTAGATATTATCTAGAATAGGGATGGCGCCTTTAGATAGTTGTGGACATTTTAGAGGCCCATAAGAATCTGGCTCATTGCCTAGCCTTTGATTTCTTTCTTAACTGAAACAATTCCTTTAAATATCCTAGAACAGGGGTCCTCAACCACCGGGAGAAATGGGCAAGAGTGTGCACAAAGCTGAACTTGCATGAGCAGAGAGCACTTGCGCAAGTACCTGCCACCCATGTGCATAGAGTTCACACAAATGAAGCTTTGTGCCTGAGTGCAAGCACTATTTGTGCAAGTGGAGGGCACGCATGCTGCTCATCCCCCCCATGTTAGGGTGGGCCACCAAGCTGGAAATGTTGCAGACCGCTGTTCTTGAACAGGTGCAAACAATTTCTAATATGTTAGAGGCTGGGATAAACTTGATCACAATGGGTTATCTTCTCCCAAAATAATGAGGAACCCTGCACATTTTTTGTGTTGATATTTACTTTATCAACAATAAAATGCAAAATATAAAAACATATATCCAGAAAAAAAAGAAAAATTGTATGCAAAAAGGACAAAAAAGACCCACATTTCAAATAAATCTAACATTTGTAATGTATCGCAATGCCCCTAGTTGGGGAGCTGCAAGGCAAAAGAGATTATACAAAGTAGAACTGCAGTATAGTAGTCAAAATGCCAAAGGTGCAATCAATCAGACCGTCTGTCTGAAAAACTCTCTGTATATATTCCCTTGACTCGGCTGACAAAGAGGGGAGGAGAGCCTGAGGCCTGGTGGTTAATACAACTGCCTAGCATGTAGACTGCCCAGGTTCGAATCCCATAAAGGGGTGTGGCTAGCTGATGAGGACAAATGAGTCGGAAATAGATATACTAGTCTCCCACTTAAAATCTTTAACTCTTGTCAGCAAAAAGAAATCTGAATGTGTGTTTGTGTGTGTGTGTGTGTGTATGTATATGTATATGTAAAAAATAGGAAAAAAATTCAACAGGTTAGCCCAAACATTATACCAATCTTCAAATCCTAGGAACCCAGCACACTTCCTGATTAACTGTTAGAACACCAAATTGCTGGTTTCCTACTGCTAACAACAGCAAGGAATGAGAAAGATTCAAGGTGCATGACAATATGTGTAGGAGTGTCCTGTTTATGAAATAATGCAATCTGAATTTACTGCCATATCAATATCAACTTACAGTATTAAATACAAACATCTTCACATTAGCCCCTTTGAAGTCAACCTGACTCGCAGTGAATTGATGAAACAGGCAAGAAAAGAGAACAGAATGCCAAATGTTTCATGTGAAAACATGAACCTGGTGGAGGAAGACCCGTACCTTTCCATCCCTTCTCCAATCAACTCCTCTCCATCTTCGTCCTCTTCATCAGGGAGTCCCTCGGTCCCCAGGAGTCCTTCAGACTCGTCCTCAAAGGGGGGTAGATCTCTCCCTGGGCTCGACGTGAAGGCCTCTCCTCGCCGAGAATTCTGCATCGGGCTGGTAGCCATGTTTGACTCAGAGGAATCCTAACACAATAGAGTGCAAAATACATTGTGAATTTGGCTAATATAAAGGTAGTCCTCGATTTACAACAGTTCATTTAGTAACCATTCAAAGCTACAATGGCACTGAAAAATGTGACTTATGACCAGTTTTTTTCATACGTGTGACCTTTGCAGCATTCCCATGATCAGGGGTAGGCAACCTTGGCTTTTATGACTCGTGGACTTCAACTCCCAGAATTCCTGAGCCAGCATGGCTGGCTCAGGAATTCTGGGAGTTGAAGTCCACGAGTCATAAAAGAGCCAAGGTTGCCTATCCCTGTCCATGATCGTGTGGTCAAAATTCAGATGCTTGGCAATTGGTTCCTATTTATGACTTTTGCTGTGATCACCTTTTGGTTCCTTCTGACAAGCAAAGCCAATGGGGTAGCCAGATTCACCTAATAACCAGGTTAACTAACTGAACAACCGCAGTGATCCACTTAACAACGGTGACAAGAAAAGTCGTAAAACGGTAAAACTCAATGAACGTCTCACTTAACAACAGAAACCTGGGGCTCAGTTGTGGTCGTTTGTCGAGGATTACCTGTACTTTCCTTAGGACTTGGTTTGGTTCGAATTTTCTAAACTTCTCCAGGCGCAAAAGGAATACAAAAAAAGAGACAGACTAATAAAGCGCCTGGCAGGCACGGTGTGAGACTTTTTTTTTCTTTTTTCTTTTACTCTTTTAAATTCCAGAGAAGTCATTTGGGTTCAGTTGCAGAACAGCGGTGGCGGAGAATATTTCTTTGTACTCCCATCTTCTAAACTCCTCCTACGTTTTGACAGGGGCGGCACGCCTGGGCAGGAATTTACAGTAGTTAACAGCAATAAGAGCCTAAAATTTCACTCTTCCTGCAAATTCCGTCAGGCAAAAAAAAGGTCCGGAAAAGGTTTTAGATACAGATTCTACAACGAACGAGAAAACTACGAAAGGAACGGTTAAGAGGTAACCAGATGACGCCAAACAATTAAAAAAAAAAAGCGGCCCACCCGAGGGACGCAAATACAAATAACCAATACGGTTGACAAGAAAAGCCCTTGCGGGTCCGCGTCAAGAAGCTCCCTTACCGCCATTTCTTCCGCTCTGCCCGCGATCCAACGGAGCTTCTTCCAACCAGCAGCTCCCCCAAACTACGAGCGCCGCCGGAGCCTGAATTCCGCGCGGATCAACAGTCACGTGGGTCAAAAGCCCGCGAAAGCTTCGGAATCGTGACGCAACCTCTTATGAATATGCAAATATTAACCGGGAGAGACTGGCGGAAAGCGCTCTTATGAATATTTAACGAGGGGACGGGTGGGGGGGGAGGAGAGGCGGTCCTTCGCCGGAGAGGAAAGGAGGCGGGGTGCTGTAGGTGGAAAGACGAAATAAACGCGGCTCGACGGTGCTCAGAAGTTTGCTCCGACGTTCCTAGTTAAGGAGGAGTTGGGAGTCCAGCACTCTGGAGAGCACCGCGTGAGCTTTCGTGGTCTTTTCATCGGCCGAGAAAGTTTTATTCTTTTCTTGCCTTCCATTCGTGGAATGCAGTTCCGTTTGTCATTTCATTTCGCTGAATTATTAGGTGTGCCTCTATTGCGCACGCCCTCGGGTTTCTTCAGCGGTTAAATAAGTAATAAGAGGCCGCGCTGACGGCGCTTGTTTTGTCTTAAGTTAATAAAGGGTTTGTGCTCTCACTTAATAGAAGACGCTTCGCAAAATGCCAAGTGATGCAAGCCCGAGGAAGGAGTACTTTTAGAAAAAAAAATATCTCGAATTCTCCAGTAATCCAGAATAAAAACGCACACTTTGAAACAAACTGTTCTGCTTTGATTCCGCCACTAAATGAGGGGTATTGGCGGCTTGCCAAAGGAATGGACGCGAAGAGTACGTCACTTTTCCAGCTGAGTTCCGAAAGAGTTTTGCCTTCGAAATGGTTGAGCGCAACTTCTCCTTTAACGCCCTGTCGGTTTTTAGCCCACGACTCCGCCCCTCCGCTTCCTTCATTGGCTCCTGTCGCCCTTTTGTTTCGCTTTTGAGCCGGGCTTCTCATTTAGGTGCCTCGTGATTGGCTGGAAACCCTGGGATCGACGCTCAGGTCTTCCTCAGCAGGCGGCGGGCGAGGCTTGCTCTTCCTCCGCGAGCCGCTCGTCATCCTGGTTGAGAGGCGATGGCGCTGCGCCTTCTTTCCACTGCGGGCGCCTCTCTTCTGAGCAACGGCAGGAAGTGATGGGTCGCCTGGCCGCGGCTTTGCTGCTTTAGCTCCGGCCGGCTTGTCAACGACGCTCCTCCTCCGGGGCAAGCCTCCGCCCCATTCTGGACCTGGGACGGAGCTTTGCTGGTTGCAGGATGGTCGGTCGAGAGCGTCGGGCATGAGCCAGCGCGGGCGAAAGCGGGACAGGCCGCCTCCTCTTCCTCCTCCTCCTCTGTCGGACTGTGAGCGAAGATAACAAGGGAGCTGCGGAGGGCGAGCGTGGCTCACGGGCGGAAGAAACGAGGGGAAGGGCCAGGTAAGGAGCTCCCTGACTCCTTAGGTGGCCTTAGTCTAGATGCCCCATCGCCCGGGCACAGGTGATCGGCCAGATTTCTCTGGGGAAACTTTGGGGCCGGGAAGGAAAGATCTCGCGTCCAGCAATGTCTTTTAACAAGCAGACCTCCGGCTTTGAAGAGGGAATTTGTAAATTCACCCCATTTCCCTTCCTGGCACCCGACACTCTTGACTAATCTTAATCCTGGTGATCTTGGTCTGGGAATTGTCCTCTGTGTTTGGGCAAGAAGGAAATGGGGTCATTCGCTGTGTTGAAGAACTGTGTGAATGCTGAGTTCCCCCTCTCCTTTTTGATCTATTCTGGGGCTTTTAGTAATGTCCCACTTGGATCGCTTTTTTTTTCCCCTTGAGATCTTCGGCAAGTCGGTGCGTGCCCCTCTCTTGAATTGAAACTCTCCTTCCTGAAATAGCATCAAACGTTGTTGTTGTTCAGTTGCTAAGTCGTGCCTGACTCTTTGTGACCCCATGGACCCCACAAGTTGCATGGCACGAAATGTTTGGTGTCAACACTCAACCAAAGGCCCTTTTACTATCAGGAATACATCTCAGCAGGGGAAAATGCCTCCTCTACAAGATCCCAATGTTCTTTTTCTATCTGGCGATGTTTAGATAGAGTTAACTCCTACAATCGTTCTGAGCTGTATGGGCATTTTAATTAGGAATATGTGGAGTTTTCCAGTTGGTGATTAAAAAATCGCCTCCTCTTTCCACTAGCCCATACTGTGGCATTTTGTGTGCATTCCCTTCTGTTGTTTGGTAACTTCTAGCAACTTCCCATTTATGTTTACAATTGACTTGCTATTGAATGAGTGCTTTAGATGTTAGGCAGAATATGCTTTAATTAGTTAATGTTGCAAAGGGCTTTTAGTGGTCTGCATGAGCAGGGGATGTCTCTGATTATGTAGTGTGACAAATTGTGATAAGTTAAAATGTAGTTAAAAGCCACAATTTAAACTTTTTTATAATTAGCTTGGGATGCCAGACACAAAACCCTATCCTCTGAAATTGTAAGTTGGTTGGGTAACTGCTGTGAGTAGCAGTGACTTGAAGGAAGATCTCATTCTACTATAGGGATTGTGCTTCAATCATATCTAAATATCACCCAGCTATCTAAAATAGCTTTTGGTTTTTGGCCATACAGATTCCATCTTTCAGGGCATACAGTGGACTGATAACATTGTAATTGTCCATAGTTGCTTGGCTTTTAGGGTGATATTCAAAAAAGGAATCCTGAGTTAATTTTATATGTAAATCTCTTCTGCCATATTTTCTGCTTAGTCATATGAAAGCTTACCTTCTCTTGTGATTTCCAAATTGGCCGTATAACTTTGCTAATATATTATGATCTAATTAATACTGAATTTCTAATTGTTTTTATGTTGTGGCAATGCAGAAAAAGTGAAACAATTTTTAGGCTGACAAAGGAACAATATTTGGCTGCTTAAAAGAGAAAGCTGTTTCTCTTTCACTCTTCCCCCTCTTTTTTTCTGTACACTACATAAAAATTGACTGTTGATAGTAAATCTTAACTGATATTAGGAATGTAAAACGTAAATAAATTTGCTCCCATGGTGGGTCAGTTGCCAAGCGTCTGAATTTTGATTGTAAGCATGAAAAATAGTCATAAGTCACTTTTTTCAGTGCAGATGTAACTTCAAACAGTCACTAAACAAACTGTTATAAATTGAAGACTACCTATATCTAGACCAGGGGTAGGCAACCTTGGCTTTTTTATGACTTGTGGATTTCAACTCCCAGAACTGGCTTAGGAATTCTGGGAGTTGAAGTCCACAAGTAATAAAAGAGCCAAGGTTGCCTACTCCTGATCTAGACCATACGGAAACACATTGTCCAGTCTTACCTTTAATGCATAGTTGATTCAAAGGACATTTCTTCTTATATGTTCTTCAGATATGGAACTCAGTGTTGTTCACTTTTAAATTTGTATAAAGGCTTTATATATTTTGTTTCAGTTTTTAAATCTTTTCCTAGTAATCCACAATTTTTCATCAAGCTAGCCACCATTATGTCACTGCACATTTTCCTGGTCAGTTTTTTTTCCTCCCAGCTGAAAGCAATACTTTTTCATTATTAATGAGCCTTTGATGGCCTGAGATTAACTTAAAGAATTTAGGTCAAAATGGCAACCTAGCTTTTTCTTCTGTTTGCAGTGTCCGTTGTCTATTCTGTCTCTCTAATGGCATGACTAGTTCTAAATTGATTGGTAAAAAATCAAATACTAATCCTCTAGCTTGACAGGAAGTGTGATCGTTTGACACTTGCCTTAAATATTAGGAGACTTCCTGGCACAATTTATAGTATGATTAAATTGTTGACAATGCAGGTATTGCACTGAAATCAAACTATCATTAAGACAGCTCTTCTCAGAAGACTGTCATTCAAGACCTTGACATACATGTGCAGAAGGAAAACAAACTCTAAGGGGGATGAACTGAGATATTGGGATCATGGAGTTAAACAACCAGATAGGCCATTGAATTTAATTTCCTGCTCAATGCAGAAATCCAAATTAAAGCACTCCAGACAGATGCTGTCTACCCTCTGAGTGCACATATCCAGTGAAGAGCAGCTCACCATTCTGAGTAATTGGTTCTACTGTCAAACTGCTGTTATTTTATGGAAGTGAAATTAATGAGATTCCTAATGCATTGCAAACCTATCAGAAATGCACACTGTGGATGCCACATTTAATTTATTTTGCATTGTGTTATGGTTGCAGTGTGAATCTCCCACAACTAGGGAATGCCCTGTCATATTTGGAATATTAAAATAAAAAGCCAGCAGTGTCCCTTAATCTTGGCAACCTTAAGATATCTGGACTTCAGTTCCCAGAATTTCCCAGCCAGCCTCCTGAGAGTTGATGTCTGTACAGATAGTCCTCGAGTTACAACAGTTCATTTAGTGACTATAATTGCAACAGTCTTATGACCGTTTTACACACTTATAACCATTTCAGCATCCCCATGGTCACATGATCAAAATTCAGATGCATGGCAACTGGTTCATATTTATGACAGTTGTAGTGTGCCAGAGTCATGTGATCACCTTTTGCAACCTTCTGATAAGCAAAGTCAATGGGAAGGTCAGATTCATTTAACAACTATGTTACTGTGTTACTAATAGCTGTGTTAACAATTGCAGTGATTCACTTAACAACTGTGGCAAGAAAGGTTATAAAATGGGGCAACATAAATATGAGCTCAGTTGTGATCATAAGTCGAGGACTACCTATACATCTTAAAATCGGCAAGGTTGAAAAACACTGAATTTATGGATGACCAGTTGAATATGTACACTGATACAGATTGAAATGCATCTTCAGTACTTCAACATTCCTATTGTTGCTTAAATTGCAGGAAATGTACTTAAATGATAATGATACCTTAGTACAGTTGTCTGTAAAGAAGCAAGTTAAACCTTTCAGAAAACTTTATGGTTGCATGCCTAAGCAATCTTTCTATGGGTCACTGTAAGGCAGTGGTTCTCAACCTTTCTAATGCCACGACCCCATAATACAATTCCCCATGTTGTGGTGACCCCCAACCACTTATACATCACCGGGTGCCAGGGGTGTGGCCAAAGAAAAGGGGGAAAAAAATGGCGGACAGCCTTGTTTGGCGACCCCCGTGAAATGGTCGTTCGACCCCAAATGGGGTCCCGACCCACAGGTTGAGAACCACTGCTGTAAGGCATGTTTCCAGAAAACATGCATAAGGTTGTGTAGTCAGTGTAATGAAGCAAAGATCAAAAATTCAGATTAGTTGAGCTTCTATTATTTATGGTTTGTCACACAATCAGCCAGATGTTCAGAATGTATTTAGCATTTTTAAACCACTTATCAAGTCTTTCCCAAGAGTCTGGGATAAGCAGATGATGATGTTTTGTGGTATACCATTGCAGGATGTAAACTGTTTCGAATAAAGCAGCCTTTTGCAACTGACTGATAGTGATTATTGTTGTTGTTATGGTTCATCTCACAGCCAGCTATTTAGACTGGATTTGGAACTTTTATCCACCCATTGAGTCCTTCCCAATGACCTGAAATAGGCAGATATTTGACAGTGTTAAAGGTATTGTCACAAGATGTAAGCTGTTCTTAGTAAAGCTGCCTTTGGCAATTGAGTGAAGTTGATTTTATCAGTGGTGATGGTACTCAAATAGTTCTCCAAAAGTTTGGGATTGCGCCCAAGGCACCTATTACTATTGTATTGGTACTGTATTGGCCTTCTTCTGCCACAGTTATTTTACTTCTATTTGCAGGTCTTTGTGTTTTGTGATTTTTTTCTCCATCTCTATTGCAACATCCAATCTTCTTTTTTTTTAATCAATAGTTGCTACGTCTGGGGTATTATGTGGCAGTAATATTCGTGTCTGTTTGAAGTCTAAAATCCCAGAACAATTTAGCTTTTTCATTTTTCTGTTAGTTTATTTTGTGGTCCCATCAGTTCTTGCTGAACAGATGCTTGTTGTGAGACTGAAAAGTTAAGTCACATGGGGTTGACCTTGGATAAAATGAGGAAGTTCATTTGAGTGAGTGAGATATGAATGACTTGGTAAGATAAAAGACTTCTCTTTCTTTTTCAGTATATTAGAATGACTGTTTATTTCAAGAATTTATCAATAAGTTTCCTCTGAAATGGAGTCTGGTTTTTGCAGAGGAACATGTTCTTAACTTACCAAGAAAACATGAATCTTTTAACTGTAATTCTAGATGGAGAAAAATACAGAAATGAAACATTTTCCCAAATCATAAGAGGAATAATACATTTGAGACCTATTTCACTTCTTATGTATCAGCTTCATTGCTGGCTTATTAATTTCTGTGCTAAATTTAAAGTGTTGTCCTTAAATATTTCTGGACAGTTTTATTTATATATGCTTCTTTCTTTAACATAGAACCAATTTGGTATAGTGCAGGGGTAGTCAACCTTGGCTCTTTTATGACTCGTGGGCTTAGCTTAGGTGGCTCAGGAATTCTGGGAATTGAAGTCCACGAGTCATAAAAGAGCCAAGGTTGACTACCCCTGGTATAGTGGTTAAAGCAACAAGCTAGAAACCTTGAGTTCTAGTCCTACCTTAAGCAGGAAGCCAGCTGGATGACCTTGGCCAATCATTCATTCCCAGGCCCAGGAAGCAAGCAAGGGCAAACCATTTCCAAAAATACCTTCAGGGACTTTTTTAGGCAGTTGCCAGGAATGAAGACTGATTCAAAGGCAACCCCTGGTGTTAAAATGGTTGCCCTTTGAGAGTGATTGGATCCTGAAATACCAGCAAACTGGACCCTTTTTGTCATGCACTGTTCGTGTTTTGTATTTCTCTGGGAAAAGTCTTTCAGCTTTTCTCCTGCACCACTTGCCGCTGTTTTCTGTTTTCGGTGTTATGAACAAACCACAAATGAGAAGATTTTTATGGGAGCCCTAATAATTTTGCTATTCCAAAAAGAAATGTTATGATCCGATATTTTAATGACTATGTTCATTTGTTCCTTTTTCATATTGTTTTGCTTTTTTTTTACTTTAATAATTTGTGATCTTACAAGTTTGTAATGGCCTTGGGAGAATAGATACCCTAAAATGTGGGCTTAATCAATCAAATACGATTCAGATGGCAACTGGAACTTGATTGTTGTATAGTGCTTAGATATTTAACAAGCTGAATACTGTTGAGAAAGAGCAACAACATGGGAAGAGTTGTTCTTAACAAGCAATTTCTGAAGATTGCTTTAAGTATGGCTGAGAGACAATGGTTTATGCATATTCTTACTGAAGAATGTTCTTTCTTGGAAACTAGACATTACTGTATTTGTCACTTTGATACAAGTGGGTGCATCACTGGTGATTTCAGCTAGTGCTTCACTTAATCAGCAGAAAATACAAAGGAGACATTGAAAAATATTACTGAAGGATAAACTGAAGAAAAAGCATTGTGCGAATTGCTTAGGAAAATAGAATCAGTAAGGTTATTAGGCTTAATTAAATATAATTAGCTTATGTAAAATAGCCTTTGAGACTCTTAAAAATATGTAGGCTTGATTAATTAATTTTTATTTATATTGTAGTGCTTCAAGAGAAGGAGAGAAAAGAAATTTGTTTGTAGATGCCCAATCCATAACAGACAGTAATTCAAGAAGCACTTTGTGATCATCAAGGAGTTTTTCTAGAAGAAGCACTGCCCTAATTTTTAAAGGTAGAAACAAAATTAAATTCTGATCTTTATGTGTTTCTTTATATTAGGAATTGGCACTCTACTTTCAACAAGCGTGTAGGTGTCTTCAAATAACTGAAATGTAAAAATATTAAATTTCTGATGTTAATCACATCTTATAGATTTGTTTGTATATAACTGCATTATTCTACATTATTTATTTAGACATGCTTAATTAAAATTAATTTCTGTTGCTTTAGCAGTTGCTTTTCATTTTAAAAAGTGGGGGAGGGAACAGGGAAGGACCTTAGATTTATAGTGCAGTTAGAAGTTTAATCATTGTAAAGTTGTTTGACAAGTGTGATTATGACCTTGTTTCAGCTGTGAATTCAGGGCAAAGTTTCTTTGTTTAAGACAGCCAAGGGTAAGAAGAATGCCATCTAGGCAGGGTCTTTGTTCAACCAGAGTCTGACATACAGGAGGAACCTCTGTGAATAAAATACAGTTTTAGCAATAGGGAAGCTAGTTTAAAGCAGACGAGTTCACAAGACATAAAAAATAAGCTATGCATGGCTTTGTGTCTCCAGGGCTGCCGCTGTTTACCTTTCCATTCTAGAATTGTTATAAGTTACATCTCTTACATTAATTATAGTCTTCTAAGTCAGATGAAAAAAAAATCTAACCTCAACTACTAGCTTGAACTTCTTAACTTGTTTTAATACTGAGTGATGACTGTGGCTTTCTGATTCAGCAATAATTAGGGTTCGTGATTCCTAAGGGATTCTAAGGAAAGAAAGAAGGCTCATTCTGTTTAATAACCCAGGATGATTGGTAATATACACCCAAACTGGCTATTGGTTAAAAATTGTCTGCATCAGTCTTCCAGATCATAGTCCAGCACAGTTAACCTGATGCTGATCTTCTATGTGAAGAATTTTCTGCCTTTGTAATAGAAACATTATATTATTATTAATTATTAAAAACTGCAGCTTATTACCCACAAACATTGGTTCTTACTTTTATGGATTATCCTGTTCTATCTTATTTTATTTTAGTAGGAGTTAAAGTTTATTTTCATTTCCTCAAAGAGGTTTGCTAATCAAACGCAAATACTGCTTCTACTATGCACTTTTTGCACATCTAGACTGCAGCATGAAAAGCCAGAAAACACCCTGGATTTGGTCTGCAGACTGCTGGTTGCTTAGATTTTCTTTATTGTTGACTGCCCTTCTTCACCTATTTTGCCACAAGGTTATGCCACGGCAAACCTTTCTTAAAAAAGCTTGCAGATAGAGAGTGGATTCAATTATTGTGCTAAGTCATATAATGTGATTTCATTGGTTTTCACTTCGTGTATTATAAAAGTTACTGCGATTTGTAAACTACAGTCTATAACTTAGTGGTTCATGTGTTTTTCACTGTTTGAAGTTTATTCAGTAATTCAAAATATATGAACCAGCCCGAGTCTCTTATATGAAGAGTTTCTTTTATTTGACAGAGGTCATGAATGCATGGCTGGGAACAGACTAGGGATAGATTATCTGGGAGGAAATCAATCTATGTGGTCACTAAGAAAGGAAAAGGACTTGATGGCACATAATCAATCTTTTATTTGAAGACTCTTCTTCTTTATGCACTTTGGGATTTTCTCAGAATTCAATAAGGCATTTTGAATGGACTTCCTTTCCTAGAATTCATAAAGTAAGACACTTCATAAATGCCAAGTCAGTATTTTACAAAATTTATTTATAATCTAAGTTTCTGAAAAAAGCATGAGCAGACAACAATTGTTACTTATTAGGATCGTTCCAAGGATCATAGTTCTAAAAGATGGCAAAAACTGAGATAAATATATGTCAAGCAGCAGCACACATATGCAATTCCCAGAGCAAATGTAGAACATATTTATTTTGGAACTGTATAATGATGATGTCATTTAGAAAGAGGTGGGGAATTACTGATAGTCCTCGATTTACGACCACAGTTGAGCCTAACATTTCTGTTGCTATGTGAAACATTTGTCAAGTGAATTTTGCCCCATTTTACGACCTTTCTTGCCACAGTTGTTAAGTGAATCAATGCATTTTTTAAGTTAGTAACATGGTTATTAAGTGAATCTGGCTTCCCCATTGACTTTGCTTGTCGGAAGGTCACAAAAGTGGATCACATGACCTTGGGACACTGCAACTGTTACAATTATGAGTCAGTTGCCAAGTGTTCGAATGCTAAGCTGCAATGGGAGTAAGTTGAAAAATGGTCATAAATCATTTTTTTCAGTGCCTTTATAACTTTGAGTGGTGGCCACGTGTACTGTTGTTAAGTCAATAACTATCTGTAATTAAGATGGAGTTGGCACACCTGATGGTGCTAAAGAACATCTGCCAGTATTCGTGAGCTCTCCTTCACTGGGACAGTTATCTGTCATAGGTGCTTTATTTTATATTTTTTGCATAGAGCAAAGGCACCATCAGATCAACCAGGTTATGCTAAGTGAAATCTTCCAATTCTATGACATAAAGGCATTCCTGACATAAATTAGTAGCAATCAATTCCAAAGGCTTCAAAAATATCCATGACTGCTGTAGGTCTGTAGGTTACTAGTGCTCTTTTCCACTAGTAACCATTACATTCCAGTTCCCTAAGCCTGGAGAAGATGAGAAAGCAGTTAAAGCTGCAAAAGCAATTCATTACAAGTACATTCTTAAGCATTTAGAGGAATAAAATGTGGCTAGAAACTAATAGATTCTATTTCCTGAATTTTAGGAATCCAAGACGATAGTTACTTTGGTAATATAGAGATTAAATAGGTTTGATTTATTTATTTCATTTGTGTAATATTGAATTTGTGATGTGTAGTGTACAACAACAACAACAAAATAAGTAACACAATTACAACATAGGAAATTCAAACAAACTGCAGTAATTGTTGCAACGAGCCAATGACACCATCCAGGTCTTCAGAAATATCATCCTACAAAGGTCCAATATTTCTGTTTTGATGGGTTTTTGAAAGGAGACCAGAATTGGACACCAGCTTGACCTCTGGAAGAAGGCTGACCATCAAATGGTGGCCACTACAGAGAATAAACATCTGGAGAATCCCAACTGATCCTAACTCTTGCATTTTGAGATACCCAGTTTAGAGAGCTTACTTTCTGGTACAGTTCTACCCGTGGACTTGGTACTACCTGGAATAACAATCCTGAAAGTACCGTATTTAGGAAGTAAGCCACGCGGAATCTTCAAGATTAAAACCACTATTTTGAATTGTACACTGTAACTTGTTGAAAGCCAATGTCACACCTGTAACAAAAGGTTCACATGGCTGTAGCAGGTCCATGTGCCAGCACGCTGACAGTTTCATTCTGTACCACTTGCAGCTTCTGAACAGTCTTTAAAAATAATATGATGAGGACCAAATTACAGTAATCTGGGAAGGGCATAAGCTTCCTGTTCCAGTGTCACCTGGTCTTGTGCCCATAGCTTTCTCTAGTCTTTTGCTTGTCAGGTGTGTTAGTTTAACTCTCCTGATTTACTAGCTAACACAGTCAAAACACATAAGGAGTACATGATTGAGAAAAGTTGATAAATGTTTGGATTAATACAGGATAAACTTCTATGTATTTTTTAAAACAAACTCCCCCCCCATGTAGAATTGTTTGAGATTTTATATTATCTGATGAAAATGTCCTTTTGGCTCCCTCTCTCCAGAACGGTGGCAGAATGTCAGCATTGGTGACATCAGTACCATTATCTGCGGATGATAATGCCACTTCTTTGTCTGCTCCCACGGCAGTGACAACAGTGGACATTCTGACAACACCTTTGTTTTTAAATGCTACCAACACTTCTGTGCCACACAAATGCTTGGTGCTGTTGTATGAGGACATTGGCACATCCAGGTGAGATGCTGTTATTGATGGTTTCTGTTTCTTCTTCTGAAGAAGGTTCTCTGTATCGCCTGAAGGGACACAGCACTATTTGAAAAAGGTATCTTTGTCTTGTTTTTAGAGTTCGTTACTGGGACCTTCTGCTATTGGTTCCCAATGTACTTTTCTTTGCATTTCTCCTCTGGAAGCTGCCTTCTGCCAGGGCCAAAATCCATGCCACTTCCAGTCCCATTTTTACCACATTCTACATACTGGTAAGTACAAATTTTATTTTCAAAGAACCTGGGGGATATGTATATATATTCACTTGGCTCCTTTCAGATTAGTGAAAAGGCTCAGGAGTTGGTAAGGTGTTTGGCAACTGTCAGCATTAACTCTTTCTCTACGTAGGGTGTATTTTTTATTTGGGAATGAGACATTCTTCTGACCTAATCTGATCATTGACCTGCTTGATCTTTCTTTATGCTGCTTCTGTGTCTTTTGTGTTTCTGGAATATCTGATCTTTTAAAGAAGAGCAGCTAATCTCCAAAAGAATAGACAGCCTCATTGCTGCTACTTTAGTTGTTAACTTGATTTGACATGGGAAGTCACATTTTGCAACTTGGTAACACATTATTTGACTTATGCTCTGCCCAAATGCTGTTGGCCTGGCATCTGTTAGTCGATGAAATGCCCATTGTTCAAGAAGAGAAAAGAGAACAACCTCTTTTTCTCTTTGGCTTACTTTCTCCTGGCAAAATTGTTCTCCCTTTAAATAACTCCAGATATTAAGATGTATTTTAAAATATAAGTAAGTGTGACATCTCTATTTTTGTTTTCTGTCTCTTAATATCCCTCCCTCCATCCTTTCGCTGGTTGATCTGTGGCAATGCCAACTAGTGTGGCTGGTAGGAAAGAATTATAGGACAGGAACATGTGGAATATCTCACGTTGCCTATATCTGACCTAGACCAAGAGACACGTCATAAATCCTGACTATCAGTGTCATGGTTGCTTACCACTAACTGAATGAGTTGAAGGCTCTAAGAGGGAATTGATAAGTGCATGTTTTCTGATGTTCCTTTAGTTGCACAATTTCAATATTGCCACATTTTTAAGGCTATTTCTTGTTAACAGTTGCAAGGAGATTAGAGAGGCATGTAAATGAGAAGAAAAACATTTCCTTGCCCTTGCCTTACAGCTTCTAATGATTCTTCTTAGTGAAAACTTGGTCAATTTTGAAAGGTTCTACTTTTTGTGTGATATATATGTTTGTGAATCTCTTTCTGTGCGTGTGTGTGTGTGTGTGTGTGTGTGTGTGTGTGTGTGTGTGTGTAAAACGCTTCAATTATTTGGCATTTGTGATATTCTCTCTTCCCATTCCCCAAGCTTTGTTTTGCAATTTCTTTTCCACTTTTGCATAAGAATTTCTTCTTCAGAAAATAAAGAAGGGATTTGCTTGCCTCTTGCAGAAAGAGGATGATATTATATTAGTCTTAGGCACAATGGGGAAGGAGGCAAGATTCTGCCAGTGGATAGGTGAAACAATCTGTAGGGGCAACAGTCATAGAAGCCTGGAATTAACAGGAGAGAGGCTATTTTACTCAGGTGAGTCATCCTTTTCTTACCTGCATAGCTATTGTCATGCCTGCTAGGTATGGCACATGTTCCAACATAGAACATGCAAAACCTCGATGGTATAAAATTCCACTTAAAATAGAAGAGCAAGGAATAAATTAGGAGCTGTTTTCCTGGAAACACTACAGGATTTTCTTAGTGTGCTTTGTTCTCCATGGAAAAGTTAATCAGTTAGAGGGAACTCAGAAATCACAATCTCTGGGTGAAATTCTGTTCACCCAGGAAAATTGGACAAAATTGCATATATGTAGGCTTTCTAGAAGAGGCAATAGCTTAAGAGGCTTGTCTTAATTCCCCCAAAATGGCTTCTGATCCTGTAGAGCCCATTTAGGAGAAATAGTGGGACTCATTAAGGAGATCTCAGATAATACTTAGCCAAGCAACAGCCATTCCCTTCCCTCTGCAGTTCTTTCACTTACAATTCTGCCCCACTTCCAGTTTTCTTATACTTATTGACCTTATATCTCTCTGCAGGATCTTTGGGAATTTTTGCTGATAAATTTTTTCTGGGAGTGACTTTCTGAATATCTTCCTCTTTTTAAAATGTATTTGTGAAACAGATTCAGTCTGTCTCCTTGATTTCCAAATACCCTCTTTGATGGCTTCTTATAGAGCATTTTTTGCCATTTGCTTGTTTACTCAGCAAAATGTATACGCTGCTGTTTTTCTGACTTGTAATATTTATTAACTGAGTAATGGAAAATTTGGAAGTGTAGCTCTAGTAAAAGCCACAGGTCAGAATAGGGAAAGGTAGTTGGAATTGTATCTTATTTAGACCTTAGCTGAAGCTTAGCTGCAGAACTGAAATGACTTTATGGGACAGAACAAAGACTAAAGAGGCTCATAAGGAAGCAAAATAGGTAACCTACAGCAGAGTGATAAGAAATTGAAAAACAGGAAATTGAGGCAAACACAAAGAGGCTTTAGAAGTTTTGCAGCAAACTTGTAATTGCTTTGGAATTGAAGGGATGCAGTCACTAAACACAATTTATAAATATTTCCCCTGGTGAATTACATGTAAGATAAGATTGCTGTGTAAATGTATAGCACTGCAGGCTGCAGAAATTACAGTAAGACATTTATGCAGGTTTCTACGTTTAAGGTTAATCAAATGTAACTATTAGCCTTAGCAGCATTTATGGGCGCATAACACTGGAGGTTTTTATCTTGTAGGATTGGCATTCTGCAGGGGCTGTGAGACTGCTTAGCAATGTAACATTTCAGCGGTGATTGGAAAGGCAGGAAGGGCAAGAGATTATTTAAAGAGCTTTAACTTTGAGAGGAAGTAGATATATTTTTCTGGTGCAGCATTAGAAAGGACAATAAGATGTATTGAGGAAACTTCATGTCTATGAATATTGAATATTGTATTGAATATTGTACAGATGTAACCAACAAATGCCAACATATTATTCTATCTCTGTCTCTCTTTATATCTGTCTGGCTTACTAAGAAAGCATATATAGTGGTATGCTTTGGTGAATGAGGTTGAACAAGGAATTTCCCTTCATTGACAGTGTTTTCTGAGACTGGGCATTCCTTGTGTATATTCAGGTGTATCTTCATAGCCTGAAGGGCCTAAAGCTGGGATAGACAATTAACTGTCCCAAGGAGCCACATGAGAAACTAGGACTGTTGTGGAGGACCCCCATCAACACAGCAGGACAGATGTGGTCCATAGACTGTAAAATACCTAGGTCTGACCTAAAGAGGCTTCCTCCAGCCTCATAACTGTAGATACTGGGCATCTGTTGGTTGAGCCACAAGACTTCTGAAATTCTGGTCATAAATGCACTATGGACACCCTGCTGTAAGTGAGACAAAATACCATCATTGAATATCATCACTGACTGTAAGGCTGAAAAACTATCCAACATATAGTGACAGAGTGCCAAAACAGAGCCTATAATGGAGACTTTGTTGATTTCCTGGCTGTGAGAAATGAAGTAAAAAAAATTATCTATAATCTGGATATATATTTATAATATTTTAGACTTTATATTTCATATTTTTATCTTGTGTTTTTACTGAAATGTGATATGAATGTGCCATATGATAAATAATAATAAAATAATGAGACTCTGGTAGGCTTTAGCAAAGGTCAGGTTAGGTTTGAAAGCAGCCCAATTTCTTGGGAGTTATTTACTGTTTATTTTTCCTATTTCTAGATCCTTTTGCTGTCTTTTAGTAGATGACTTGTGGGGTATATCCAAGGTCAGAAGTTCCTTGATACCCTGTGACGGTGACTGTTGATAACAATATTTATAGTGTTAGAATATAAACAAGCATCAGCGTGCTTTGAAATGTTACTAAGTTTAAAATCAAAGAAGAGAATAAGATAATGAAGTGTCTTTTTAGTGTTTTAAAAAACTCAGCCATGAAGCATTTCTGTAACCTTAATAAAAAAAATCCATATAGTATAGGTAACCTGATAGTTATTTTTCTATACCTTTTCCCTGCTCCTGAATTCACTGGTTATTTTCTCTGCTGTCTTAACTTATTTTTTTTAGAAAGGTAGTCTCTATGTGTACAACATACTTCCTTAATTCCTAGCTATTTTGTTCCAGGTGTTCGTAGTTGCTGTGGTTGGGATTGCTCGAGCTGTTGTTTCCATGACAGTCAGTGCTTCTACTGCTGCTACAGTCACTGACAAGGTGAGATTAGCTTTAGGTAGATGTAGATTTGATCCCTTCCCCTTTCCCACTTTCAGTATTGAATTTAATACTACTTTATAATCAGATATAATAATACAGATATGCTCATACATCTGGCTTATACCTCTCAAAGAAAAAGTTGGAAACATCAGTTAGATTACTATTCTGATATTGTTGGAGAGATTCAGGGATGGTCAAAATATAGTCAAGGTACATTGGGGGTAGGAGGGATCCACCCAAAGTGAGCAAATAACTAATTTAGAATGAGTTGTTAATGCAACTTGTGACTATTGGTTCATAAGACAAACATTTGAAAGGAAGTGTCAAAACATGAAGAGCAAAGCTGAAGTTCATTCTCTTGAGTAATTGAAGCTGGAGGAAAAAGGCAACATAGTAAGAACTACTTTTACTTTCTCAAATTGCTGTGGCCATGGGAACAAAATTTCCTGAGCAATAATTAGGAGTTTATTGCTGCCTGAATAATTTGATAAGAAGCACTTATAGTTGATGTCATACATGCAAAAAAGAAATTAATGTTGTTATATCAAAGCGAGATCCTACCAATAGTTCTTGTATACCATAGTGATTGTTCAAATAAGCAGAAATGTGTGTAATGTGTGTATTTAAAAATGGAGAAATAGTGTCTTTTAATGTTCAAATCACTAATGCGACACATTAACCCTCTCTTTGGCTTGCTGAATTTGGCTCTCTGATCTGTGTTATCACCTCTAGATCCTGTGGGAAATCACAAGATTTTTCCTTCTGGCCATTGAGCTGAGCATGGTGATTTTGGGCCTTGCATTTGGTAAGAAATCTTTCTTAGTATTATAGGCACTCTTATTTTTTCCTTTTTTGTAAATTAAAACATTAGGTGGTAGTAAAATGCAAAATTAAGCAGTAGCCAATTTATACAAGAAGTAATATTTCAATATAAATATTGCCTGAGTTCAAAGAAGAGATAAATATTTGCTCAGTAGTAGATGACATCCACATCATGAGCCATGCTGGCACAGTGGTTAGAACGCAGCATTGCAGGCTAGCTCTGCCCACTGCCAGAGGTTCGATCTTGATTGGCTCAAGGTTGACTCAGACTTTCATCCTTCTGAGGTTGGTAAAATGAGGACCCAGATTGTCTGGGGCAATATGCTGACTCTGTAAACTACTTAGAGAGTGCTGTAAAGAACTATGAAATGGTATATAAAGGGCTATAGCTATTGCTATTCTTTTACTGAATAAAACAGCTGGTTAAGTTATTGATTCTGCTCCAATATATTTCTGCTTAGTACATATTTTTTATAAAACCACAAATTTAATTTTTCATTTCTATACCACCACCCCTCCTATTTACAACAACATGCTGGTATAGGTTAGACCAGGGGTAGGCAACCTTGGCTCTTTTATGACTCGTGGACTTCAACTCCCAGAATTCCTGAGCCAGCATGGCTCAGCCTGGAAACCTCTCCCTTTCCCCTCAGTATGGCTAGCTTAGGAATTCTGGGAGTTGAAGTCCACGAGTCATAAAAGAGCCCAGGTTGCCTACCCCGGGTTAGACTAAGAGAGAGCAAAAAGGCCAACACCCTTTGAATTCATTCTTTGAACCAGGCCTCCAAGTTCCTGGTCTGAAATTTGAAACACTGCCCTACTCTGCCTGAGAATAAGGCAAGAGGAGAGTGGATATGTAGTCTTAAATTTCCTTAAAAGGAGAAACATCTTGCCCTCCCCCACACACTTGCAACAGTGTCTCCATATATATTGCAAACCTTTTTAAAATTAGTTTTAAGAGTCTTCTTTTCACCAAAATTTGAGCCTGCATCCAGTCTTAAAACCTAATAATAGCAAGCATAGGAATCCACTCCGGGATGGCAATATCCAATCGGTAAGGAGGGTTACTATGCAGTTCATAAGTTGGGTCACAGCTGGAATAAATAAATATTGAAAGAAATCATTTTTTAAATAAGGCTGAAGAAGCTCCAAATCCTGGCATGGGGCTTTCAAATTATCTAAGACTTGTTCCCCGTAATTAAAATACTGGGTCCACAATGAATTATTTCTAAGGATGTGCAAAATGTTTCAAATTCAAATCATTTCAGGTTCAAAATGCATTTTACATTTTGGAACAGAGTGAGAACTGGTTCTAAGCATGAAATACTTGTCAAAAGGAGAAACAGCCCATTTTGTTCTTAAAATAATAGAATTTCCCCTGAAATGAGGCATTTTGAAACCGAAGCAGAATGTTTTAAATCTTAAACAGTTCACACTTGAAATATTTTACCTGCCTCTAAGTATTTCAGATGCTAATTTCATGCCCTCCAATGAGCTGGGCTATAAAGTTTATCATTTCTAGCTTGGGGATGTATGTGTTGGGGATGATGGGCATTGTAGTTCAGTACATCATGAAGGTTGCCAGATTGGGGGAGACTATTTCAGAGTAAGGTGTGATAGTTAGACTTATGATGCATATGGTTGGATAAAACCTGTATGCGAGACTAATTTGTACAAGAAGCTATCGTCACCATGTAATGTTACCTGTAGATAGCAGGAGCTAATCCTGCCCCCCCCCCTTGTGGCTCCCTGTGATTCTGTAGGCAGGTGGAATACAAATAGACTGCTTGTCCCATGGGCTGCTCTCCCAAAGCATTTGAATTACTCTGCTTTGATCCTTAGCTTTTCATCCTGAGAATAGCTTGAGGAAATACTTATGCGGTGTTAGGATACACAGCATTTTCTTTGTGTGCACAAATCAATGTTTTCTAGCTTAGTGCAGCTGGATGAAGGATGAGTTGAAGAAGCAAAACCTGATATACTTTCAAAGTGTGTTGATGTAACAATTTTAAATTTTCAAATGTGTTGATGTGTAATGCTCATACCTTACCTTATGCAGCTCATCTTTGCATCAGGCAATGTAAGGGGGAAACTCGATAAATGCAAGATCAGTAGTATTGGATTGGTCTGGGTATCATCTGATCTTCAGTAATGGGCAATCTTGCACTATTTATTTACTTGTTTGTTTGTTTGTAAAACTTATTGGGCACCCATCTCACCACAGGCTTTTAAAAGGGCCAGTATCTCATTCCCTTCTTATGTGATCCCTTCCCTCACAACTGCAGTGTATAACATAGTCCATATAATAAAAAGTTCATGGGGATTATTGGGATTGATTCATTATGGGGTTTTCAACCATGGATTGTTTACTAAGCTATGATGTACTGGTTTCCATACAGTGCCAAGCCAGAATGGGTGGTTATTCTCATGTTGTGACCCAGCAGGATTACACTGAGTAAACCTACAGGTTTGCAGTTCTATAATCTCTAAATAGTTAAAATGAATTCTGGATTCTGGGACTTGGAAGCCAAAAAAGCTCTTGAGTAGATTGATGTGAGAGGCAGGCAGTCTAAGCTGTTCAGGGGTTGACTCTGAGTATGATCTTTGTTCAATTAGGCCACCTGGAGAGCAAATCCAGTGTCAAGCGTGTCCTGGGTATCACCACTGTTCTGTCGTTGGCCTACTCGGTGACACAGGTAAGCACCATTAAGGCAGAAACACCTGCCTGTCTAGGTTATGCTCTCAAGGAAAGGCAATTCTTTGGTGCAAAATTCTAGGAGATGGTTTAATGTGAAATAAAGCTGGAAGCCACTTAAAAATATATTTTGTGGTAAGCTGGGAAGGGAAGAATCTTCTTGAATGTTATTTGAGTTCAAGAATCCCAATTTCATAAATTGCACTAAGCCATGGTTAGCTTAATAGTTTATCTACTAAACCACTGGTATACATCATGGTGTGCAAATCCCACTGGCTGGCTTTGCATGAAGCACTAACTAAGCTTTCATTACTACATTATCTTGTCTAATGCTGGTAAGAGTAAGGCATCCAACATGCAAACCATAAGATATTGAGAGGATTAAGCTAACAGTTCTCAGGCCAGAGATAGCAGTTACGTAAGCATACAATAAGTGTTTGATATCTAAGCAATTATGTATGGTGCCAAGACTCCATTAATTTGTGCAAAGGGCAGGAGAAAGAAGCCAGAAAGAAGAGTGAGTTAAAACCATCATGGCTCTAGGTGTCATCCAACCCTTCTCATTGGTAGTGGACAACCAGTTTTTTCTGCTGGTTTTAACTTGCAGTTTTTGGTGCTAGATTTCCTGCAGGACTGTATCGGTCCCCTGAGTTAGTCTAACACAGTGATGGCGAACCTTTTAGAGACCGCCCTGTCCCCCACCTGCTCCGCCCATGCTCCTCCCGCTCTGCCCCCTGTCTGCCCCACCCACCCGCAGGGCCACCTATCGCCTCCATTGCCCACCGCAGATCGCCCAGGCAGCCCTGCAGCACCATGGCAGCCACACCCTCCACCCATGCCCCGCAGCACCATCTGCATGTGACGGGGCGCAAGGGCAGAGTCTTGTCCCTGCTGCCTGGCTACCATGTCCTTGGCTGCACTAACCTGCGCAGGCCACGCCTGGGGGCGACTCTCCTCCCGGGGGGGGGCTGCTGGTGAGGAGGGGGCCACAGGGGGAGGTGGCGCTGGGGTGACAGCACAGAGAGGGTTTAGAGTGCCGCCTCTGGCATGCGTGCCATAGGTTCGCCACCACTGGTCTAACATTTTGATCATGCCAAGAGAAGCAGCTAGTTGTTCCTCATTTTCAGGTGTTGGGGGCAGAGCTTGGACAAAGTCTTTAAGTGTTTTCCATGATGTGGCTGACTTTCTGGAATTGCCTCCCATTAGAGGTCTAGCTATCAGCTTCTGGAAATTAGAGTTTTTCTGGGGGACTTTAGTGTTTGGATTCCATATATTACTTGGGGATGTTTTAATGCATTTATAAGATATATTTGTTCAATTATTGTGCTTTGTTTATTATTGTGAATTACAGAGAGTTTGCCACAATTGTGGTAGTATGTAAATCTGGAAACAGAGTAACAAGTGAATAAATAGACTGTTTTGTAGGACATCATTTTTCTCTGCCATAAAGGTTCTTTGGAGGCCAAATTATGAGACTTCTGCCTGGTATAGTCTAGAAGCAAATACAGAGATTGTAAAATCAGGAAACTTGTGACTTCCTGTCAAATCCTGGTCAAGGTTAGGGTTATGTTAAATATATAATGTTACTTAGACTGCTGTAGGTGCCATTTTCTTCTGCCATAATTATTACGGCGTTTTGTATTTCACTGAGCAACATGGGAGCAATCTAAAGTACATTAATGGGATCTCATTTGTGTCTATCTCTACACTGGGAGTTACTGTAAATCCAAAGGCTAACATTGTTCCAGGTACAGTAAATATTCAGAAGGCTCCATATTGCAAAATAGGCTGAGAGATGGTGTGATGCAAAGCACTAGCTTTTCATTGATGCCTCTTCCTCAAGCACTTCAGAATGAAAATAGAAGAATTTCTGTAAATATTTACAGTATGTCCTTTCTCATTGCTTCCTATCAATTTTCAGGGAACTCTGGAAATCCGTTATCCCGATGCCCAACTCTCAGCAGAAGATTTTAATATTTATAGCCATGGAGGAAGGCATTTCTGGCTTGCCAGCTCTAGTTTCTTCTTTCTGGTAAGTAGGAGCTCCAGGCATTGGCATTTTTCCTGGATAATTAGAATTGCCCTTTTAAAATCTTACTAATATCTTGTAAATACAACACTAAAGCCCCAAAGAAAATAAGGCAGGATCTTGGATATTCTCTGTCTGCCATTAGCAGCCTCCCCATCCATCCATCCATCCATCCATCCATCCATCCATCCATCCATCTATCTGCTGTTTCTCTTCATGACAGGTTTATTCATTTGTGGTGATGCTTCCCAAAACTCCCTTGAAGGATCGGATTTCTCTGCCATGTAAGTAACTTTTCTCTCTTTGAGATGGTCTGTTTTGTCCAGTTCTGCAATGTTAGGGTTTCTGAAGTTCCCAAAGGCAGGCTGCTGCCGGAATGGGACAACTTGCTACGGCCAACTCGCCATGGCCAACTCACTGCAGGACAACTCGCCAGGGACAACTTGCAGCGGGACAATTTAATAATTCTATTATTTTAAAAAAATAAAAAAAAATATTTTAATTTTTGCAATTCACATTTCATTCTGTCCCTCCTTTTGCATCCTTTCTTTAATGGTTTTATTCCACTATTTCTTTGATATTAGTGGAACTCTCGTCCCGCAGCAAATTATCCTCTGGCGAGGTTGCTGTGGCGAGTTATCTGCAGGGAATAGGCCACAGCAAGTTGGCCATGGTGAGTTGGCCGTATTAAATTGGCCGTGGCAAATTGTCATAGACCTGGCTGCTGCTGCTGCTGTCTTGCAAGTCAATCCCATGCATTTTCTTCTTTAAAGGTCCAGGGAAGTTTTCCCGTGTAGCTATAGTAGCACTGAATCCATTCTTCCTGGAGGTAACAAAAGCATTCTGCATTCTGGGGAGAGTTATAGAAGTTGGCATCAAGTTCAGTCCCCAGCTTAGTGGCCTTAGGACCTTCTGCACTTGAGATAATTTTTTTTTGCACCTGTTATTTTACGGGGGAGGAGAAATTGAGACCCTTCCTGGGAAAAGCAAATCTTGTAGCACATGAAATCTGCATTAGTGTACCTCATTTGGATTGTCTTTATTTCATATCAGGTAAAATATGTTCCTGGTAAGAGAAGCAGCCGTGCCCTGTGTGTTTTCAAATGAAACCTCCTTTTCTACCTTCAATTTTTACAGTTTTAAACTGTGGTTTACAACATAGCATGCAATATATAATTGTGGCTTTTGTTAACTTTATAATGAAGTTAACCTTCAAGTGCAGGGGAAGAAATGAAATGGATGAGTGCCATTCAGGATGCCCTTTGAGACTGTAATAGGAAGAAGCAGTAAGAGAATGAGCAAATTTGTGGGCAAAGACATTAAAATTGCACATAATTAGATGGTCTAATCATAAATGGAATAGTGCTGTGAAATTGGCATTTTGTGCTCAAGTGCTTTCCGTGCTGGGTTTTCTGTGTTCCCTTTTTTAATTCATTCAGTAAATTGCTGTTTCTGCCTCTTGTGTTTTTCCAGCAAGGAAGAGTTTCTATATCTATGCAGGAATTCTTGCTGTGCTCAATTTAGTGCAAGGTATTGGCAGTGCTCTGCTCTGTGCAGGCATCATCGAAGGCTTGTGGTATGTATTCTGCAGTCTGATAGAGACAAAAAATGACTTTTGGGTGGAGACAAACACTTTTCAATTTTCACCAAAGATTAGCTTTTTCAGCACGGACTCTGAAGTTACTGAGGAACAGCTCTTTTGCTATCCCCATCGTGCCCTCAGGAGTGGCCCCATGCATTCTGCCCTGCGCCCTTTTCTCCCTTTGTTCCATAATAGAGAGTAGGCTGATTCCTTAATTTCAAGCCCTTGCCTCTGTCCTTCTCTTATCTTTGTAAAGGTCAGTGGGAGGAATTCAAGATGTTTGGTCCTTGTTGCTTTGAGCACTGCTTTGTTTAAGTAGGCTGAACCAAACAGTGAGTCAAAGATCTCCTCCTTTATTTCACACGCAAGGAGAATGTTCTTTGGAGCCTGGAGTAATTCATCTGCTGGCCTGCTACTTTCTTGTAGTTCTAGTTGCCATGGCAAATACAGTAATTTTTTATCTTCATCCTGGGAGCATGTGAGAATCTTCTTGTGGGTTTCTTAGGCCAGCAGCTCCTCCTTCCCTAGTTGAAACTGAGTGACATCGGAGATGGGACGGTATGGACAGTCAATTTGATCTGGACATTTTGTGTGCATGGCCTTAGGCCAACCTCCCAAACATTTAGCCAGTGCAAGTAACAAGGGGGAGACCAGGTTAGGCCACTGAGACAGGTCTGATCCACTGAAGAGGAAAAAGAAGAGCAAAAAGTGGGACTCCCATAGAAGACCCTCTTTTTCCCTGTAAAAGAGCTATTTATACTTTTTTCCCTATAAAAGAATGATTTACTGTTCTTCCTCATGGATTTGGAACTGCACTATCAAGTACCCTAGGAGCACTGGCTTATTTCTTATTAGAAGTCTATTTAACTGAACTCCTGTGTAGGTTTTGCCACTTAATAAAGCTTACTCCAAGTAGTAGTGAAGTTAGCAGTTGCTTACTTCTATTAAACAAGTTGGCAGAATATGTGCAAAGCGCTGAGAGGCACCATTAAGAGCCACTGTCTGATTGGTTCAGTTGTATGGAAAATCCGAATTACCACATTCAGCTTAGGCCTACTGTAAACACCTTGCTGTCAATACCTGTACTGGAGATGGATTTAACGAAAGTGACAAACAAACCACAGGTAAAGTAGGTGCTAAATGGAGTGGGAAGGGGGAGTATTCAGACTTCACTTTAGTCTCCTACACAAGTAAGGCTGTTAGCATGAATTCACAAACTAATAATAATAATAATAGTAAAGTTGGAAGGGACCTTGGAGGTCATCTAGTTCAACCCCCTGTTCAGGCAGGAAACCCTATACCATTTCGGACAAATGACTGTCCAGTCTTTTCTTAAAAACCTCCAGTGTTGGAGCATTCACAACTTCTGGAGGCAGGCTGTTCCACTGGTTAATTGTTCTAACTGTCAGGAAGTTTCTCCTTAGTTCTAGGTTGCTTCTCTCCTTGCTTAGTTTCCACCTGTTGCTTCTTGTCCTGCCTTCAGGAGCTTTGGAGAATAGCTTGACTCCCTCTTCTTTGTGGCAGCCCCTGAGATATTGGAACACTGCTATCATGCCCCCCCTCACCCTTCTCTTCATTAAACTAGACAAGATTCTCATGGAAAATAAACCAGTAAAGGAAAAAGCAAAAGGAACCACAGACTTCCTTGCCATGATTGTATTTGATTATCTAAAGCAGGGTGCCAAACTCACAATGTCATGTGACGTGTTGCGACGTATCACAACTTTTTTTCCAGTGCTGGCAATGGGGTGGGTGCAGTTTCGCCATGACGCATCTGGCCCGCAGGCCAGCAGTTTGACACCCCTGAGTTGAAGAATTTATATAGTCACCCATCTTACAACAAACGATTAAAAACAATGAAAAGCATGAACTGTGGAAAAATAAGCAGTTTTTAAGGAATGGCACTTAGTGGTGCCCAGAAAGCAGCTCTCCTCAGTTACAGTGCCTGGAACAGCATCTCTCCAGAGCTTTGCTCTGTTCAACCCACCTGTCTACAAAAAAGCCCTAAAAATGTGGCTCTTTCCTCAGCCTTGCATTGGGGTGGCAGCAGGTTGGGTGCCATAGAGAAGATTAGGTTTTTTTTATTTGTTCTTTCACATACACACACACACACACACACACAAAATATATTGTTTTTTTCTGTTTGAAATTTTGTGAAACCCCCCTGAGTCATTTTTGGAATGGGCAGCCTAGAAATTGAACAAATGAAAAAAGCTTAAATGACAAGAGTACAACTTTCAGTAGCCCTAGCTACTGTTGCTTTAAGGGAAACTGGATGTGCTTTTACTCATTTTGTGACACAAAACAGCATTCATTTATTCCCCAGTAGTTGGGTGTAGATAACCTTACAGCTGGAAAATAATGTTGTGATTTGTTTCTGAGGATATTTTGTTTTGGCAATTGCTGTGCTATGATGTAACAAACAAAGAGACTTGATGGCCCTAGGCATTGTTGAGGATGCATCTAGTGCAGTCATTGAACTGTGTTTGTGGCCCCTTTGTCCCCTGGGCTGTGCAAACACTATGGGATAAGAGACCCTTTTGTGGCGAAACTCTGAAAGTATTGTAGGCACTTTGACATTGACTGCCTGGAGGCCTTTGAAGGAAGATGCCAGGCCTGGGAACTTTCCCCTCTGAAAGCATATATTTACTAAGCTTTCTTTCTTGGCTTCTCCATGGCCAATGAATACAACCCTTTCTGAAAACTGAGCCCATGACATGCCTGTTAGCAGTGTATAAGCAGATGCTAAATGTTTTCATGTTTCATCTGTTCACAGCTGCGTGGATGCCACCACCTTCCTCTATTTCAGCTTTTTTGCTCCACTAATCTATGTGGCATTTCTGAAAAGCTTCTTTGGGTAAGCTTTTTCATTTATTTCATTATAGTCCCATGTTCTTGCTTTCTGGTTATGCGTCCCAGGGAAGTTTAGACTACAGCAGACAAATAACTCCCTCCAGGTACAGTAATGGAACTGAAACTTCCAATAACAGTAAGTGAGAAAAGCAATTTAAAAAAGCATGCAGGTAATCTTCTATTTGCAACCACAGCTGGGCCCAAAATTTCCATTGTTTAGCAAAGCAGTTGTTAAGATGTGAATCACATGTGATTTTACAACCTTGTCTGTTGTGGTTTTTAAGCAAATCGCAGTTGTTAAACGAATCGTGGTCATTAAATGAAACCGGTTTCTCCATTGACTTTGTTTGTTGGAAGTCAGGTGGGAAGGTCACAAAATGGTGATCACATAATCCCAGGATGCTGCAACCATAAATTCACACCAAGTGCCAGGCACTCAAATTCTGACCATATGACCAAGGCGATGCTGCAATGGTCATAAGTGCGAGGCCGAGTGATCAGTCGCTTTTTTCAGCGCTGTTGTAATTTCGAACTGTATAAATCAGTAAGGTAATCTGAAAGTTTAAAATCATGTAACCATCACTTTTAAGTAACTTTAGCAAAATGTTTTTTTTAAAGGTAGAGTTACCTGAAGTGAATCATTTTAATCTACTCTTTATCTAAAAAGTTAGAATGTTTTAGTTCTGTTATATAATTTAATATGTAATTAATATATTAATTATGATTACAAAAGGAAATATAAGATGAAATGGTGAAAGTGCAACTAGGTTCTAAAGTGCTGTAAATTCAAGTTTTCCTTTCTGTCAAAGTTTCTCAGTCTTGGGTTTCAAGTCCCAGTCCCTACTCTATACAGTATGTTGCTCTGTGAAATGGAGACAATAAGGCCATTTTAAAAAAAAATTAAAAGGAGGTTTAGCTAAATTGGTGAACAGAATAAAGCTATTCTAATTCCCAGGGTTAGTAAATACCAGGAATTCTTTTTGCCAGTGTTCTAAAAGAATATCTATTGAATTTAGACTGCCATCTAGTGGGGGGAATTAAAAATACTTAAAATAATTTAAATTGCTCTTAAATTGCTGATCAATTATCCTGTCCATTTTATGTCCAGACAGATTTGTCTAGGACTTGCATATTTTTATTGTAAGCTTTTGATTTCCTGGAAATGTATTTGTATGATTGCTTAGTGAAAAGGAAGAGGGTTCCTGAATTTAATGAACAAATCTCATCAGCTGGTAATCTCTCTATTAAAAGTGCAGAAGCTCAGCTTTTTTTCTGTTTCACACAACTGTTCCTTGTAGCAGATAGCACAGGAGAATAAGGCCACAGGCATATATTATTTTTTTAAGCTGAGCATTGTGATAATTAACTAAGAGTATAAAAAGGAGCATATTGGAAGTACGTTTTTTACCATGTTGTTTGAGGGGGCCATATTAATTAATTATAATTTATATAGCTGCCTATCACATATATAACTCTGGACAGTTTACTCTGGATGGCTTTAATTTTAATTATAATATACATAGCATGATTTTTAGAGCAAGCAAAACATTAAGTCTATTTTGTTACTTGATGAATGAGATATAAGTATTTTATGCCTGTTAAAGTTAGATAAGACCAGAGCTTCGTTGCCCAGTGCTAGGGGTATAGCACATCAAAGCATACCTTAATCCAAATAAAGACATTTTGACTTAGGTGTTTGAATTTAGTGTGATGCTGGTTCTTAAATCAACAGAACTTTCATTTGAAATATAGGTAAAAGAAGTCAGGGAAGGGTCCACAACACAAAGAGACAAAAATAATTATTATTCATTATTGTAGTTATGAATAAAGGAACAATAAATGAAAACCAGTTTGGTCTATGGTTGAGACTAGAAAGTGGGAGACTGTGAATTCAAGTCCTGCCTTAGCCATTAAAGCCATTTGGCGACTTTGGGCCAGTCACTTTCTCTCAGCCCAACCACCTCACAAGATTGTTGTGAGAAAAAATAAGAGGAAGGTGTGTTGGATATGTTTGCCACCTTGGGTTATTTGTAAAAACAGGGCTTTTTTTGTCATAGAACACCCAGAACGGAGTTCCTGCACCTTTTTTGGATGGAACCTTGTAGGGTAGGCAAGGCGAGTTGTATGACGTGTGTGAGTTCCAGCACCTTTTTTTTTTTTTTACAAAAAAAGCACTGTGTAAAAATAATAAAAAGACGAGATACGAATAAACAATAAATAAATAATATTGGTGATTACTATTTACTTCAGGAATTGTGTGCAATAGATTCTCTTCTTACCCAGAGCTAAAGGACCTTCTCATTTTCTTTCTCATTATTTTAGGTCTGAACCAAAGATCCTCTTCTCCTATAAGTGCCAGGTGGATGAACCTGAGGATGTTGATGTGCATCTTCCCCATGCCTATGGGGTAACCAAAAAAGAAGGGCCGGATTCTGGCTTCTACTCCAGCACTCAGATTGACACCACAGCATACCTAGACGATGTTGCTTCCATGCCGTACCACGTGGGCAGCATCAATAGCATTGACAGTGATCGATGGAAAGCCATTAACTCCTAAAGGCAGATGTGGTTGAAAGAATAACTTTCTCTTGCACCCATTGTTCCCTTCAGATAATCATTTGGAACTCTTAACGTGTTTGTCTTCTCTTTCCTTGGAGGTGTTTTTTTAAAAAAGATATTTAAATTCTGTATGGAACATAAAATTGTAGTCTTCCTGGAAGGACAATACTCATCTTTGTGAGACAACATACAGATCAGCTTCATTTCAGACATGCATAAATGGTGACTTTTTCATATTCTTGGCATTCCAAATCTAGATGATTAGGCCTTTGTCACCTTTTGTTCTTGATAAAATGCACATTCTACTAGGAATATTGACTGTTCCTTTGGATATACACCTGCACACAATCAATCTGAAATTAAGGTTGGAATGCCTTGTTTGCATTTTATTTTTTTATGTTTGATTTAGTTATTATTTATGTTCCCGACAATTTCAAATTCCCAGCAGTAACCTTCAGTTTTGAATTAGAGGATAATAGCATAGTTCCTACATTTTAGCCACTGAAGTATGGTAGAAATGGAGGTGAGAGAACTCTAGAAGCATTTGAGCATCTTATAATCTTCCCAGGGAAATTGGGAGTATATTGTATTTTAAAAAGAATTTACATATAGAAGGAGAGAGAAGGAAAGTAGTCAGCAAGGAAAGGTCTCTGGAACACATTGCTGTGCTACTAAACTACTGTGATTTATTGACATGCAGGCATGTTTCGTACACTGTATAATTTTCAAAATGAGAATGTAATCAAGTCAGTGTTATGGAATGATGTACTGTGAGACCAACCGCACTTCTGTGCAAATGGGATTGGGTAGGGAGAAGATGGGTTTTTTTAGGAGCCTGTTTTAGATAGTTTGCTATTGATGCTTGGGATGGCATCTAAATAGAATACAAACCCAAAGGTCTAGATTAAAGACAGGCTATTTATAATACTGGTTGTGTTCTGGGCCTCCAGGTTAAGACCCTATTATAAGAATAGTGTTGGGCCTGTTTTTTTTTGTAACCTTTGGTAACACTTGGCTGATTATTGCATTAGTGATATTGGTAATGCCTGAATTCAGAAGACTTCTGAGGGCTTTTCTGCGAGATTAGTAAAGCAAAAGAATGTTAATTTCTTTAATTATTATCAAGATGTTTCTGGAAAGAGAATAATCTAATATAGGATTGGCTTAACTCTGGCAGCAAGGAGAAAAAAAATAGCATATCTAAAACGTTCTAAAAAGCTTGCATTTTGTGCCCATGCATTATGCCTGGCTTTTGTTGTTGTTAATGTTCTTGGAACATTATGCATAATTATGGGCACCCTTAATAGTGTGTGAACTGTGGGTAACATTGTTTGAATAGAGATTGGCCAGGGAGCAAATATAGCCACAGCTAATTGGATTTAAAATTCCATAAAGTAAGAATGACAAACCAGAATGTTTTTTTCCTGTTGTTACGATGGCATTAATTCAGGATCATTTATGTTACAAGTGGATGAATAAGGTTAGGATTCCAGAAATTCACAGCAATTTTCTTTGAAATCACAGCATTTGCTTTAGGGAAACTTCTTTAAAACTGAGGCACAAAAAGAAAAAAATAGTATTTTGTCTCCTGAATGCAGACATGTTCTTCCCTTTGTCCTGAAAATTCTGCCATTTGTGATTTCTGCTTGCCAAGACAACAGCAATGTACATGATAAGACCTTGATTTTAAGAGTTTCAAAATTACCTAAATTCAGAAAAAAGAAGACTCATGCTTGAAACTGCTATTTGGAAGTGTTGTTAATGCAGATTAGCATTAATCTGATATGACAGAGAACAAAAAATTGTCTTTAATTTTGCTGTTGGCCAGAGTAGCTATTTCTGAACATCACAATTTGGTACTGTAATTTGACTTGTTAGTGTTAGCAGCATTATTGTCTTGTGGTAAGAAATCTTACATAATTTGTAATTGACATCTCATTAATCTTTATGGTGTTAATTGGAGTTACTGGTGGAAACCTCTGTTGGAAAAGGGAATTTATTGCAGCATTATGTGAGCTTGATCATACAAAGTTGTGTATTCCCAGACAACTAGTCAATTTTTATTAATTTCTCAATTCCCCTACTTCTATAGGATATCCCAATCTCTTTTTCCTTCCCAGCCAGAATGCCCCAATATCCTTACATGGGCTATTCTCACTAGAGTGTATTGGTGTTATAGACCCACAGACCTTGGAGAAAGCTTCCGGCACCTTAATATAGGTGCATGTGAGAAATGAAAGAATTCTTAATATGAAGATGGATATCTTGGGTAATGTGAATCAGGGTGAGATGACATTTCAGCTACCTTTACTAACCATGTTCTGCATCAGATATCAGCCATTCGCTCAGTTATGATCACTTTTCCACTGTAGAATCCTTTTGCTCATCACCATGATAATTTGATTGTTAAATGGCTTTTTATATATCTACCTTTGTTTTCTGCTGCTGAGGAGGAACTGCACTAAGTGAAAGAAATGTCTTCTTCCAAGCATACTGATTTTAAAGTGTATATAGTTAAATGCCTTCCATGTTCAGAGCAAAATATCATTCATAAACAGACAATGTTTGTGGAGATGAATGTATTGCATGTCTCATGAAATGTTGGAACAAACTTTAAAAATAAAGCTATGTATATTTTTGTCTGTAAAATAAATGACCCTTGACATAAACGAAGACCTCTCCCCCACCACAGATGATCTGCCTGCATGTCCCCATATTTTTCTGCTAACCTTTTTTCAAACTAAGGTAGCCTGCTCTACTGTAATGACATGCTTTTATTTTAAGGAAAATAAGTCATTGTTAATTTTACTTTTCCTCAAATCTGGCTAAGTTTTAGAGTGGAGTTTTCAGATTGTGATCACACTTTCAGATAGGCCTCAGTGTCACATCAGCCTGGAACTAGCTGGGTTTGATATCATTTTAAATTTTATTAAACAAATGTCCTTGAAGAAGAACAATCTTAAACCTTGTTATTTATTTAAATATAAATACAATAAATTGAAGGAAATAATCACTATAATACATGTAATCCTGGACTTATGACTACAATTGAGCCCAAAATTTTCATTGTTAAGGAAGACAGTTGTTAAATAAGCTTTTCTCTATTTTACAACTTTTCTTGCCACAGTTGTTAAGTGAATGCAGTTATTAAGTTAGTAACATGGTTGTTAAGCGAATCTGGTTTCCCCATTGATTTTGCTTGTCAGAAAGTCACAAAAGGTGATCACATGACTCTGGGACACCACAACTGTCAAATACATGCCAGTTGCCAAGCATTCAAATTTTGATCATGTGACCAAACTGCAATAATTGATAATAATAATGGATATCAGGGCTGTAGAAATATAAAATACTATGATCAGTGAAAAATGGCAGCAACTTCACTGGTCCATAATTAAAAATCTGGGTAAATGAAAAAGTATGGAATCAATAGTTGCAAAATTAGTGCTGACTGAAACTGAGAAAGCAAAACTTCCTTTAACCACAATAAACCACATCTTCCCTGGTTATCTTTGGCTGTGGGATACAATTATTGGCTCCTGCAAGCTGTGTTAGACTTTAAATTAAACAGCAATACAGTATCTTGAATGGGGCTTGAAAAGAAAAAGAGAGAGCTAGAACTTTATACTAGTACTTTGCTCCATTATATTTTGAATGGCACAGAATATACATTCAAAACAATAAAATATACTATAAATTGTATTGTTCCCTTTAAAACTCAGGCACCTGAATTTGCCCTGGAGCTGATAAAAACTCGATCCCAAATTTGGGAGAGGCTAACTGCAAAATGGCTTTTCTGCTGTTCCCAACAATACAAATCCTGAATACTTAAGGCAAAGTGAAAATGTTTATTAAGAGCGAGGGTCAAGACTTCATATAAGGTACAGAGTAAGAGTCATGGGAGTTAAACAAGAAAAAACACTGATCATTAGTCACATTCCACAAGTGGCAAATTAATGGGTTTCATCACCCTCTTTCTCAATTGAGTCTGTTTGTTTCTTGATGTTTGCAATTATATTCAAGGACTTCCAGAATAGATTCCCTATTGTTTAATTGCTGAAAAAACTAGTTCTTGTATAGTCAAACAAGAGAAGTGGCTTTGGCTGGAAAAAAAAAAAGCACCATTTCCTGAACTTCAAAAGGAGGCATGGGTGGCATGTTAAAATGTTAATATCACTTTTATTAACAAGCCTAAAAATCCAGATTGGTAGTATCAAAGCAAAATAAATAAATGTTTAGGTCTGGCTGTTCTGATTAGATTTCTAAATTTTCACTGATCATATTTTGTATATTCTGAAGTTTCCAGGTTGTTTTAAGACCAGCCCTACTTTGTTTTTATGTGTTTATTTATAGTCCACCTTTCTTATTTTTCAAACAATTCAAAGTGACTAACATATCCAGCACACCCTTGCCCTCCTGTTTTCCCCACAACAACCCTGTGAGGTGGATTGAGCTGAGAGAGTGACTAGCCCAAAGTCACCCAGCTGGCTTTTATGGCAAAGGCAGGACTAGAACTCACAGTCTCCTGGTTTCTAGCCTGGTGCCTTAACCACTAGACCCAGCTGGCTCTTTTATAGGGTTTCCTGCCTGAGCAGGGAGTTGGACCAGATGACCTTCAAGGTCCCTTCCAACTTTATTATTATTTTGGATTATAGCACAGTCAGCCAGATGTTCAGACTGGATTTGGCATTTTGTCTATCTATCGAGTCCTTACCCAGGACCTGGGATAGGCAGATGTGGATGTTTGATGGTATTACAGATATCGTCGCAGTATGGAAGCAGTTCCTAATAAGGCTGCCTTTTGCAATTGACTAATAGCGAATTTGTCAATGCCAATGGTGTTCAAGTGGTGCTCCAGTTGTTTTGGGATTGCACCCAAGGAGCCTATTACTATTGGTACTACCCTTGCTTGCTTTTGCCACAGTCTTTCTATTTCTATTTGTAGTCTTTGTATTTTGTTATCTTCTCCAGTTCTTTCTCGTCTATTCTGCTGTCTCCAGGCACTGCCACATCCACTATCCAGACTTTTTTGTCTTTCTTATCGACAATTGTTAAGTCTGGGGTGTTATGTTGCAGGTGCTTGTCTGTTTGAATTCTGAAGTTCCATAGCAGTTTAATTTTATCATTTTCTATGACTTTCTCTATTTTATGATCCCACCAGTTTTTGCTTACAGGCAAATGATATTTTTTGCAGATCTTCCAATGCACCCTTGTTGCTACTTTGTCATGCCGCTGCTTGTAATCAGTTTGTGCAATCTTCTTGCAACAGCTTACCAAGTGGCCCACTGTTTCTTCAGCTTCTTTGCATAGGCGGCACTTACTGTCTGTTGCTGTCTTCTCAATTTTGACTTTGTATGCATTTGTCCTTAAGGCTTGGTCTTGTGCAGCCAGAATTAGTCCCTCGGTCTCTTTCTTCAATTTTCCTGCTCCTAGCCATTGCCATGTCTTGTTATTATCTGCTTTCCCAGCTATTTTTTAATGTACTGGCCATGTAGTGCTTTGTCTTCCCATGCCTCTATTCTGTTCTTCATTTGGTCTTTCTTGTGGGCCAGTTTGGTCTCTCCAGTAGTCAGTAAGCCTTCCTGATATACTAATTTCAGTGCATCTTCATCATTGTTCTTCAGATATTCTTCCAAAGCCATTTTTTCTTCTTCAACCATCTGATGTACTTGTAGCATTCCAGGCCCACCTATTTGCCTTGGTAGATAAAGTCTATCAATGTCACTGCGTGGATGAAGGGCATGATTCATTGTCATTATTTTTCTGGTCTGCCTATCCATTGCTTTTAGTTCTGCTTGAGTCCAGTCCACTATTCCAGCTGTGTACCTAATGACTGGAATTGCCCAGGTGTTGATTGCCTTTATGGTATTTCCTCCATTGAGTTTGGACTTTAAGATCTTCACTCTCTTGATGTATTCATCTCTAATCTTTTTCTTGACTTCAGTGTGCTTGATGCTGTCAGCTTGAAGGATACCCAGGTATTTGTAGTACTTTTCCTCATCCAGACTCTTAATGTTATTTTCGTGGGGCATCTTGATTCCTTCAGTTTTCACTATTTTTCCTTGTTTGATAGTAAGTGTGGAACATTTGTCCAAGCCAAACTCCATTACAATATCTTGGCTATATATACGGACAGTGTTGAGCAGCGATTCTATTTCAGATGATGTTTTTCCATACAGCTTCAGATCATCCATATAAAGGAGGTGGGATAGTCTGGCAGATGTTTTTGATGTTTGATCGCCATGTCCTGAGTTATTCAGTATTGTTGACAGAGGAAACAGTGCAATAACAAATAGTAATGGTGATAATGAATCTCCTTGAAATATTCCTCTCTTGATATTAACCTCTCCCAGCCTCTCACCATTGATCTGCAACTGTGTCTTTTATTGTGCCATCGATCTTTGCTTACATTTTCTGATGTTTCTACTGACTCCTGTTATTTCTAGGCACTTGATTATCCAGTCGTCGTCATCATCATCATCATCATCATATTATTATTATTATTATTATTATTATTATTATTATTATTATTATTATTATTATTATTATTATTAGAGTTGTTGTGAGCTGCCTCAAATCATTGTATGAGATAGGTAGCTAAATAAGTCCTTTAAAAGAAAATAACATAAATATGGTTAGGGCAGGGGTGGTATATTTTCAGAGAGCAGGCACCATCATGGAAAAGACATGCCTTATTAGTCTGGTAAGATGACATGATTCCCTTCCTATTGGAGTTATGGGACAGACAGTTACCCTTGGCCCAATAATAATCCAGTCCTATGCTGTGTGGGGCTTTATAAGTGGTAACCAGCACTTAGTGTAGCTTGCAGAATTGTAATATTGAAGAACTACCCTTGCCATTCATTTTGGACCAGAATGATTGGAATTTATTTTTTTAATGTACATTTAAAAACACCTGTTTGTGGAGGAAGGAAAACCACTCTAATTATGAAATTGATTATTTTGCATACACACGCACACACTGCTGTAGGCAATAGTTAGCCCTTTGATTTTGAATTTGAATAATTGAACTTAATCATACTTTTCATGTTTAATAAACATTGGAAATTTTCCTTATATTGGTTGCTATGGTGATACAAGACGAAGTCCCTTTACAGATTAAGAAATAAAGTCTTCCTAAACCTATAATTAGCTGCTTCATGTACTCAAACAGATAACAAATATTCTATTATTTTGCATTGGAGGCAGTCAGCTTTCATTATAACACAACAACTAAATGTTTGTGCTTTGAATGTGCCCTGAATTTTAAAATTTCATTTTTTATTCCATTTTGAGGTACTATTAGAACAACAGAATCAAATAAAAGGCATTTATATTCAGTATGACTTCCTAAGCATTCTAGTTGCCACACATTGTACCAGTATTCCAAATATAATTATTATTTTCTGTTGGAATAGGTGCAAATGTTCCTCCTTCAACTTTTTAAGACAATGTTTTTATCTATTTTTAATTGCCAAATTTGATGGATCCATTTTAATTAGAAAAAATGAAGCTTTATTGTGTATTGCAATAGAAGCAAGAAAGGATGTACTTTCATCACAGATGGAAAGCTTTTAAATGGAAAATCTCCAACCGGATTTTATCAGTTACAGAACAAAATCAACCATTATGTTTGTTTCAATAGTTGACAGCCCATTTTAGAATTAAGTGAATAATTAGTCACAATCTTATCAAATGACCTTACCTTACAGAGTTAATAAATAAAAAAAATTCATTCAGGTAATATTGGAACATAGGTTAAAATAAAAAATAGAAACTCAATGATCACATTATTTATATTTGAAAAAGAAAAAGCAGGCTGGCTGGTTTCCTATCCCTCTACTGGTGACATGTAAATTTACACAGGATTTGCAAACTATACAGCGCTAATGGATAGCAACTACTTGGTTCTGATAGGTTTAAATGAAACAGTACGCAGAAATAGCTTCACAAGCAA